CTATGGTTGGTCCAACAAGCATCTCGAGATCCTTTAGCTGCATGCTCAGCAGGGCCGCAGAGTGGCCTAAAGGGGCTTAGGGGATTCTTAAGAGGCCTCGATGGCCCCCAATATTCTCCCAGGGCGAGGAGGAGAACCCTTCCAGGTCCCCTAAAGACCTTAAAGGGCATTTGATATACTGTATAACCCAAGGGAGATGCTCCTTGGGGAGACATTTCTCGTGTGTGCAGAGTGTCTATTATGTTTGCCTGCCTATATCTGTTCTGCCTGAAAAGAACCGGGCAGTCTACTGTTTCGGCTGGTCCTGTGAAGCTTGTCTCTAAAGTGGCCTTGACTTGAACTCTGAGTCAAAACCATTTTTTGTAGTTGCCATGAGTTGCATCCTCAATCTAATCATATGCAAAACTCCCCTATGGTACTGTGCTGGCGAGGCCAGCACGCCGGACGCAGGACACTATACACAATTAGAAAGTCAAAGATGCATTGCCCCTCGGTTTCTTCAGTTTTCATCAATGGATGTCACACCAGAAACACAGAATGAGAGGCGGTGGCCCCTGCAGGGGTACGGGGGACCCCGTCGAGGCCCGAGCAACGCGGGTGTGGCTTTTTTTCCTAGGCGTTTTACAGTCTTAATAGGAATCTAGTCTATATACAGGTAACCTTGAGGGGTTTCTGCGAAGCTGTAGGACACTAAAGTGCAATCGCTCACGCAGACAGACTCTGGGGAAAAGGAAATAAAATTGCCCCTTAAAAGAAACAATGCATTTCTATTTGAAAAAGAGAGAAAAGACATTCTGTTTGTAGTCCTCTTCAGGTAACCATTTCTCGAAAATACATCAATGCATGACCTGTCGATACACTACAAAGATGAGGAGGAACTAAGAAAACAATTCAGAAGGTTTCGAAGCAACAGCCTGATTATTTGTGGCAGCTCGGGACACATAACTACCGCGGCTGCTACTCCGACTGCTGCTTCTGCTGCTGCTGTTGTGGCTGCCGTTGCTTCACTGTGGGCACTACGGGTTCTCTCATGAGAGGCTGGTAGTGTGCATATTTAAGTGCGAGTTGATCCCAGCCCTTGGGGAACTCTCTCTCCGACCCCCAGCGGCCTTCTCCACGAATGGCCTGTATAGACAGCCGAAGACTCTCAGCGGAGTACTTGGGTAGACGCATTGGGGGCCGCGTACGCCTAAACCAACGCAGAGCCAACAACTGGGAAGGCAAAGAGGGGCGCCACAACCCCTGCA